TGGATTCTTTTGTGATGACTCTTGCTATTGTATGACACCAGGTTTCCTCACAATTACGTTGTCAAGCAGGACCAAATTTGGGACAGCTAAGACAATTGTCTTGTCATTTCGCCTGGCAAGTCACATCCGTCTTCCAGCTATATATTTTGAAAGGTTCGCGGACATCGTTCATCCTCAGCTCCTCGATCAGCTCTTGACTTCCATACAAAAGGTGGCTGAAAAGCGTCGCGTTTTTGTACAGATGCTCAGTACACAAACAACCCTCTGGTGGCTTAGACGTGCAACTCCGCGTATAGGTATGGAGATCCTCGATTTCTTTACCCTTTCTTAATTACCAGCCATTTTGATAAGGCTAATGCACAGTGCACGCAGTACTCTCTAATCTGATGTCATAGCCAATATGTATGGCGTGTATGCCGTTTATTTAAAGGTAAAGACTCTCAAAGTTAGACGCGATAATCAGCTTCTGGAAAATTTCTTCCACTTTCAGTTATGTGTTACGATCTCTTAGTTTGAGGTCTCACGTTGAATCTTCGAACCCGAGAATAGATATATCGCCCTTTGAGGTGTGGACGTAGAATTGGTGCAACCGAAGGTATGTAGGCAGTGCGCTCGATAATTCTGACTTGCTACACGATTTAGCTTTGACTTTGGGGATATTCTAGAAAATCGCATCAGTTATCATTCCTACTGCCAGCGAGGTCTGCCAGGGTAAGGTCAACATACCGGTCTACAATCATGGTCTGACATTGTTGAATCGGAACGCCATAACACTAGTGAAAGCCTTTGTCAAAAGTTTTACGCATGTTTGCATGGCGCATTGGTCGCTCTTGAACGTATCTAACAAAGACCGTATAGTCTCTGATTAGACAATTGTCTCCCTGAATTGGCAATTCTTTGAAATTGGTATGTGCAAATCTGATGCTAGTGATGCAATTCAAAGTATTTGAATCCGGGATCTCCATTGCTGCTTACCTATGTATGACTATAATTACACATGCAATTATGGCCGCACATAGGACGGTAATAATAGTGGATCCCAACCCTCCAATCACTTCGGTAACACACTGTCCTTTGCTTGATTGAAGATATGTATTTTGAATGTAATAGGCATCAAAGTGAGACAAATATTGTAGTAAATGTAATGTAATACGGATAATGACGTAGGCCGCACTGAGAAACACTAGGCTGATATGGTCATGACAAAGAGAATTTAGAGACTAGTGTCATCGTAGGATGTGCGAAAAAGAACCGGAGTGGCAAATGGGTTTCTCCCAAGATTGTCAAAAGCCATTGGCCAAGACGACTCGGGAGATATGTATGACATAATCACAATGCAGTCAATTCCAGGCGATGTCTTCAGGACGTAGAGGCCCGAGTATCATACGCCTTGGATCAACGGCTTCTGTCACTATGATAGGGGCGAGAAGATCGAGACAACTCCCAACCGTATGGATGGTACTCTTCAGCCACACCGGACGCTGGACGACTCCCACTGCGCTGGGACACTCGGGGAAGGGCAGGCGGGATTGTGAGCAAATTGCTGTTCACACCTTGTGAGCGCGCGTACGGCGTATTTGGGGATGTCATAGTTGATCTGGCGCTATGACTCGCTCCTTTAAAGAAACATGCATCAAGATTAGAGATGACGTATGATGGTAGAGCGTAGCAATATACACACACCTGTGTCCATCCCAGACATATAATCTGCATATCCCACGCGACTTGAAGTCTGCACCGGTGAGTGATTTAGGCGTTGGTGAGGTTGGTGGGGAGGCAGCGTGTGTGCTGCACTTGAATGTCCACGAATGGTCTCATGTTCATGAGACAATTGTCCATGAGATGCATTGTAAGGGGAATGAGGAGACAGCGTTCTAGAGGGGGAAACGCTGTACGCGGAATGCTGGGGAAAGTTGGAAGGGTAGATGGAGGCTGCACCTCGCGGAGTATTCAAGTGAGGCGGTGGATCCATCGTTCGATGCGAAACCGGGGCTACATGTACAATACGAAGTTCTCGGTTGTGCCACTCAACGAGACTGCGACCACGCACCTGAGCCAATCGACCTGGTCTCTCCGTGACACAAAACCTCCTCTTGCCAATGAGCGTGCTTTCCAGGATTCGTGGGCGGATACGAAGCACTGGGCATTGACCCATGATGGGCAGTGACTACAGGTGCAGACCAAATGTTATAGTCATCTACCCGAGAATTGGGGAACGACAGACCTGGAGAGGATGATGATAACTGTGCTGGTCGAGAAGAAATACGTTGGCCCCAGAGAGGGAACTAGCAGGTGGCTCGTAAAATAGAAACACTCTACAAAATATAAGGTCGTCATACCATCGAAGCATCCCCCATCGTCGCGAGTCTTCTTGGCAATGGCTTCCCACTAGCGACGGTCCTTGTATTCCTTGACATTGAGAGGGAGTGTTCTTGTTCGCAAAAAAAAACAAGGTATCCTGGAAGAACAAGAAATACCACTCGTGCGCAGCCTGAGCCGGCTCAAGTCGCGTCTCGGCGGACAATAGAGAGACAATACCGGAGCGGTGCATTGCTCCGAACTTGCCAGAATGGGTCGCCGGCGGCGGCCTTCGCGTCGGTTCAATATTTACGGGTCGGCCAGTGACAGGCTTTGAGCGCAACACGCGTGTACAGAGCATAGCACGGCGTAGAAGCCGCCACTAGTATACTTACTGCACTGGCCGACGGGAGACACGTCGTCGGTTCACATTGCGCAGGCGATTATGGGTCCACGAATTTGCTTAAAGGGAAAGTAATCTTGGTCCCGGTACAACTAGTATTTGTATTTGCGGGAGTGGTTGACAGACCAGAAATTGAAATGAATTGAAAATATAACAAACATCCAACACGAAGATGAATGGGAGGGATCTTAAACATGGAAAAACATTGAGTAAAGCCAGAAAATGCGAAAATCTGAACGGCAGGAATCTTTCATTCTCGCTGCAGAAAATAGCAGAGTAATCATTCGACAAAAGATCAGCGCGACGGAGCCGTTTGTGAAAGCATGTCATAGTCGCGTGTCCTCACAAAACATATACAATACAAGGCAGAGGACGAATACAAGGGTTGCGCGCGAGCAATATGCAGAGGACGGACATACCTCATGCAGAACGCGAGACTTTCGGTCTCGACGCTCCAAAAGGCCGCGAGTGTGAGCGATAAAAGAATGATTACAATGGCTGGGTTTGAGTAGTCAGTGAAGACAAGACAGAGCTACATACCAACCTGACTTTCGCAGCGAGCGTTCCTCCGAAGGTCCACAAGCTGCACTGCAGAAGCGGCTTGACAAGCAGCGCATACGTCAAGGGGGGGACACCTGAAAGTTTCTAGGTAACCATTTCAACAACTGGCAGTACAAGCTCCATCTAAGCTGTGAAGCATAATAAGAACAGAGGTTGGTGTCCACCGACCCGAGTGACAGGGTTTCAGAGCTGGAAGCTAGGTTTGGACACAGGAGAAGAAAATGTGAAGAGCAGCAGACTAGTGGGAACTGGACACGAGAGATGAAAGCAGAGAGCAACTCTGTGTCACTCATCGATGGCGAGTGGGAGCCGTAGCGTGTCGGGTCGATAACAACACCTTCCCATTTGGGTCGATCCAAGGGTCGAACCGTAAGGCCCTCCTCTCTCTCAGTTACATAAGCAGTTTGATCTCCGAAACGCGCGTTGACAATCTATGCAGCGACACGATTGACGCCCGGGCCAAATTGACGCATTCAAGTTCACTTTGTCTCTGAATCCCAGACATCTTGGTAGGGGGCAACCACTCATTACTGCATCTCTTGGATTACTAGTTGACCAGACGCCGTGTTTGTCCTCTACATCATCATGCAATTCCGAGCTTTCTTCTTTTTGCGATGACTCGGACTACCAGCTTCAAGGTAGTACCTTCTGCAGCAAACGACTGGTATGTGTGTTGGTTCATTTAGCATACAAATCTGCCCGAGAGGTGCATGCGGCATGCTAAATCGAAATGTATCAATTGACAGATATATGATCAACTTGAGCCTGCTGCCAACTGGATACACTTCGCGCACGAACTAAATGGTCAGTTGTAGCTTCATGGTCACTCGTGAGAATTGTCCTCCACTCTGACTTAGTATTGCATCAACATTATCCAGCATATAATACTGATGCGTGTTGAGATGTTATTGAGTACGTGTGCAGATTTACCTATGTAATCAGATGAGAAATAATTCCCGTATTAAAATAGGCCACCTTGTCGTTCTCAGAGTAATCGTCGCAACGACTCGCAGCGGATGCCAATACAGAACTGCGTCAATTTTGTCACTCTGTAGCCATTTTATCTCCCCTCTAAGTATATTTTCGTACGTAATTGGACCTGTCTACCTGCTACTCAGTGCTTTCCTACAGATCATGTCAAACGATAAAAGGTTCTATAAGTACAACTTAGCACATTGTTGTACGCTAGAGAGCAATAATTAGAACATCAAGAACTCGTCCCCCGTAGCAGAGGTGGGATATGCACTAAGAGACAAGGTCAAACGCTGGTAACCACGACGGACTCGAGCGATTCAATGTGAGATGGTATGTATAATCTAAGGAATTCTCAATTACTCCATGAAGAAGCCAAGTAATCAAAGGGAAGTCATCACCGCTCAGAGAAAATTTGACGTTACTGGCGTGTACCCCAGTTCTTTCAAAGATCTAAGCTACCACCCGAGACTGGTGTGTCTGGAGACATGTCTTGAAAGGTGAGCGGAATTGAGAGAAGGTCGAAGATGGATTCGTCAGGGACGTTCTGAGGTGATGAGCAAGGCTGGAACGCGCATTCGTTGAAGAGACTTGACGGATAAGTAGGCAAGTAAGGCTCATCGACATGTCTCAGAAGGAGTGCACTCGAATCACCAGCGGATGCGATCGGTTCGGCAGTGCATATGTCGTGCGCTGGCAATGGTTATGAGGGATGCTGTTCTATGCCTCGTGATTGCTTAATTTACACACCTCGCTCGCACACCTCCATTGAATGCCATATCGACACGTCAGGAAGATCCTGAGGAGACAACCGCGGCGGAGACGGACAGGGTACCATGTCGGCTTCCGATACACCAGCAAAATTGAAGATATCGTCGCCGTGGATGGAATACTGTAGCGACGGAGGATGTGTAAGACGACATGTTCTCGCAGTCATCATGTCCACTGCCGCACATCGACACACAAGATCAGCGCTGAACAACGCGAATAAAATACACAATGATTGACTTGGCCAGGGATCGTCTGTAGATGACGCGACCACCTTCTGATGTTCAACTTCTGTCTGGCGCAAATGGCAGTGGCATGGAAGGCTTGTATATGATAGGTGATCCTCTCCAAAACTTGGCGTATTTGAAGTACCGGCGACTCTGTTCTCTGGTATTGTAGCTTGTATAACAGGTTCGGAGTAAGGTAGCTGATCCTGCAAGCCTGTAAACGTATGGAGCGGCTGTCCCCATGCCGTGAACTGTGGGGCAGTTGGCAGGAAGCGACAAGGCAAATAAAAGATCGGCATACCCTTGACAAATCTTGTACGCACAGTCTAAGCTTCTTCGGTAGACGAGCTGAGGACGGCGTCTTGCTCTTCTCGCCGGACGCCTGGGATTTTGCCATCACGACCATAATGAGAACGAGAATCTCTGGAGAAGTATCGGGTGTGGGCAAGTAAAAGTCCTGTTTTCCTGGAAGCAACACGATATATAAAGGATCCCATTGCGCATCGCAACGTGGTAGTTACGCCCCAAGCAAGGAAATTGAAAGGTTACTGATGTACGGCGCTTGCTGTGACATCACTCCAACGCAATATGCATGGACAGTCCAGGACCAGTGCATAGGTGGCTATGACTGTCTGAGTATGCCAGACAAATGGTCACTTGAGCATGTGTAACGAGCCCCTAAGTGTCCAAATACATAGGTGACCCGCAAAAACGATCCGTTCGGTCACAAGAACCAACAGGGATACAGAAAGCTGTCGAAAGCGGAGATATCCCAACGCCATATATCCTGTACCCAGCAGCTAGATCCTGTGAAGAGCCAGGTACGCACTATAGAAAACCGGGCACAGTCGGAAGTGGGAGACTTCTTCCTGTCGCTGTCGCGGACAGCAGTCGCCTCCTGGCTCGCATAGCACCAAGGCACACCACACGCGGCACCAGTGTAATTACTCTATGACCGCGCGTGGGACATCGGGATAGTATACAGAATCCGACGAGGTCGACTGACCAAATTCATGCTGCCTACATCTGTAGGAATATATTCATAGATAACAATGGATGAAGGAACGCAACTAAGCTTTGCGCGACGGCGCGTTCAATTGTTACACATTGTGTGTTGAGGGCAACAACGGGTTATTGTCATCCAAATCAAGTAGACCTGGAAAACGGGGCTGGATCGATCCCCTTAACGACTTGGATAATTTTGGAGGCAATTCACGATGTCTTCAAGAGATCCAAGTGCGGTGACATCACGAGACGACAAGGTGAGCAGTCGCATCTTACGACAGACTTGATAATGAAAGTTGTTGCAGAGCACAACTTACAAGTGGTGGTGAGCGCCGGGCACCAGTGCGATCATCTGACCTGGAATCAGTAGCCGCCGGGTTTGTCTCCGTCGCGAACCTCCGAGCTCTTCCAGCGCTGTGAGTGCACAATCTCTAGTATGTAGTGCTTTCAACGACCGGCTGGTCTGACAGTGTACGTAGAGATCGACAAGACTTAGGTGGATGGTCTAAACTATGATAATCATTCTCCTAAATATGAAGGTATGGTCCAGATAATTGTGATGTTACATTCGTTACCCTCTGGCTCAGATCAAGTATCTACTAACATCCACGGCCAGCCAGGCATTCCGCGATTACAAGCGTCGCGGTCACAGAGCAAAATCGACTGCAGTCATTCGTAGTGTAGAATGTTTGCGCCTACACGGCCAAAACCTGATCGTGCGGAACACATAGTGTTCGGCTTTTCATTTAGACTTAGTAATGATAGCTCCACATCGTGTGCATCTCCTCTCTATATCCTGGCTGAAGGAGCCACGCTCCAGGTAAGTTGATTTTGAAAAATTATCCAGCATAACAAACTCACAGAAGGCAGAGAAGCCCTACCGGGAAGAGAAAAATCGCGGAAAGTATGCCGACGAGACCGTGTTTCTTGGTGATTTGGTGATTTCCTCTGGCGCAATCAGCGAGCACTTTCGGTGTGCATGTCAGCTGCGGTAGTGGGACGCTCGGGACATCAAACTACTCACTCTGCCGCTCGTAGTCTCTACCAAGGGCTATATCGGCAGCCATACGTTGTCGCTGCTCTTCTGCTCTGGAGTATACTCCAGGTACGACTGACATTTCTATCAGACAAGTGGGAGGCCCTGTTACATATGGCAGCTCGGGTGCTCCTTCAGAGTAGACCGGCGGTGACAGTGGTGAGCCATCGGAATGCATAGTTGTCTTGGCTATCGAAGTACGGGGACTAAACATGCAAAGAACGAGTATGAAACCAAAGTGTGCGGGGGTTGTAGTCTACAAGAACGACTCCCATTCATCCTTAAATGCTCTGCCACCTGGCGCTTCCCACATCCCATAGGCTCATCCTTAGTACTGCGCTTGCTAAAGTTACTGCGATCACTCGGAATTGCAGTCGAAAACGTGCTGCGTATCACAGCTTGCGCTGGCATATATGATCCCACACTGCACTCTCGCCGCCCTGCTGGATCAGAGCGCAGTCACCACAGTATTCTGGGTCGGATGGTGATACAACATCGGTAGTATTATATATGTCATTCACAATTGGCTTGCTTCTCGCACGTCCTGATTGAATCCATAGTCATCGAGAGCAATCAAACTATGGTTTGACTCTTGTACTTGTATAACATCCGCATACAAAATCTCTACTTCAGCTTCAACATTGCTCCACATCTAGTGCACCTTCGCTCCACATCACGGCTATGAAGATTGAAAAATTAGAAATATCTCTTCATAACTTATGACACTTCGGGGGATACTTGACGTACAGCAGGCACAATAAGCCAACAGGGAAGAGCCAGACCGAAGATATAATCCCAGCAGGCCCGTATCTCTTCTTTATCTGATGATTTCCCCTCGCGCATTCGGCGAACACTTCAGGTTCAGTTGGAGGATGGGAGGACACCAGATAAATCTCAAAACTTACTTTCGTACTTGTGATCCTGGTTCAAAGTGTATCCTTCGACCATTACTTCTTGTGCTCGTGAGGATGTGTTTAGGCTAGCCGGCTGCGAGATCAACTCGCTCTCTTCGGGTGGGACAGCGGGAGGGGAGCTCGTAGTCAATATGGCGGAGTGGTGTGAAGCCTGATCTTCCAAAGGCGGGGGAAGAGGATTCGGGATTAGTACGGAATTAGTGACTATCTTTTCTGTAAGCATAGCGCAATATTGAGAGGACAGTGGCACCTGTAAGAGAGAATCTATTGCAAGAGTCTCACAAATGAGTGCTTATATATGAGTGCTGCGCAGGTCTCCGTTGGACATCAACATAGAACACTGCAATTTGTACTACTGCCGTTTGGCGCTAGCATCATGATGCGCTAGAATAAGTAGTGATGAGAACTTTTCTCCGATATTTGCGCAGCAGGGAAGGCCGCTGTGAGACCGCGTTGAGTTGACTCTCCGCCTGTATAAACGTTATTGTGTACCATGGACGGCATTCTATCTTCGGACTTACCAACCACGCCAGGTCAACGGCGGATGTGATCTCGCTAATGTGGATCTGCCGTGTCATGGATCCAGCGGAGATCAACTAGTACAATATCGCGGAATTGCACGTAATCGCTACGTTCACATTGTTATACGCATTATTCGACTAGGTTGAGGGCGAGGGCGACAGGTCGAAGTGGCCGCGCGTGCCAATTCTGTATCATACCAGAGTGCACACTGCGGCAGGACATCGCGGCCACTTTGAATCATGATATGAAAAATCGCGCACAATTATCATAGCCGGCAGGCTCCGTCACGCTGTATATCAGAAAATGAACGCATTCATGCACTATACTACTGGAGACTCACGACCTTGTCTGTATTCCACCTGCCCGCTGATCTGGTGCAAAACTTGTTCATCTTCTGCAGGAAGCAGTAAAGGACATGGGTTATGTGCAAGGATCATCGGTCATCTATGCCTCACAGGATGACAGGGTTTCGCCCAAGCCTCTGACAGAACAGGAAGAAATCGCCGGTACATGAGTTCAGCGTGCGGACATGTATTACAGGAACGCACCGAAACCAAGATCTACACCCCTCTCGTGCATGGCGGGGAACCACGCACGCAGAGACAAAGGCATGGGCGGCGAGCGCCCATATCATATTGCACGGTGGATCGAACTGCGTCTGGCCACACATGTACAGCCTAAACGGCAACCCATCGTGTACAATGAATAAAAGATGCCGGTGAGTGAAGGATGTACCAAGCAGACACCGAGCTAATCAAAACCTATGTGTTTGGAGAGGTATTCTCCGAACTAAACCTGCTCGCATGCCGTTTCCAGTCACATATACGCGAGAAGAGCAACCGTACAGTTGGACTTCGTGGGCGCATATTGTTCAAGCGTGTCCTGAGCTGCACCTGATTTCAAAGCGACGATGGTTCACAGCACCATCTTCTATAACGAATGCCCCCTGAAACCACAGCAGGTTGCCTATACAAGCCGTTTAAAACCACACTAGTGTGGCCTTGCACAGCTGGTGGAGAAGCGATTCCCAATCAAGTCGTGCGGACTGTATGAATGGCACCACTTACCTATTCCAGCCATCTCTCTGCTATGCACCCTTGTGCGCTTGAAATCCCAGACCATCCCCGTAGTCTCGTTCAACCAAAGAGCCAATGACGCAGTAACTAGATATATAGACTGACGATCCATCGCGTCACAATTACAGGCATCGCAATGGGTATCTAAGGGGTATGAATGGCATCCAGGGGGTATCAAGTAGAGCTACAGCACAGGTTGGGAGCGATTAATAGCAATAAGATAGGCCTTCTAGACCATTATAGAACGTAATGTAAAATAATGCGCGTTGGAGGACAGGAATAAATGATAGGCGAAGTGAGAAACAATAACGAGGAACGAACCATTGTAAGACCCAAACGATCCAGGCACGTATACGTCCGAGAAAAACTTGAACGTTACCGAAAGGCGTGGGGAAGACTAGGGGAATGCCCGGGCAGCCACTGTCCCCAATATTCATCGTCCGAGCTGACAAGACCCTGCGCAACGGCGTACGCCGCCTGTTGGCGCTGAAACATGACGTACGCATCCTCGAACTCTCGGTCGCGTGCGCGAGCAGCGGCTAGCGTCAAAACACATATTCAGGGACGATCCGCGATCCGCAATGGCTGTGAAACCAACTTACCTGGCGCAGGGCTCACGCGTCCATGTCCCCGGAACGTATGTGCGTCCAGGCCCGGAGACGGTTCTGCGCTGCGAGGAGGCCCGTAGGACGATGTGTCTACACCACCGCCCAGGACACTGTAGTCATTAGCTCCAGTCGATATTAGCGACGTCGAACCCGGGTGCCTGGTGCTCGGTGGCCTGGTAGTGTGTGATGGGTGGTGGCGAGGATGAATTGCCCAAGCCCTAGGCGCATCAACGGGGGGCGCTTCAGCTTGACGGGTAGCACTGCCTTGGTTCTCTTGGCCTTCTCTGGAAGAGCTATACGAGCGTGACCGTGTTCCGGCGGGTGTCGCCGTCGTGCGTCCCGCGAGTGTCGTTCCGTACAGGCCCTGTCCGGGATCGTCGTAATACGGGGCGGGGCATGTCGTCCAAGGGGTACCGGGGTCTGACAAATATTCAACAGGCGAATCGCCATGCGACGACAGCCCTCGCCTCGGGGAACGGGCAGGGAGAGAGCTCGAGGCATACGACGACGGTCCAATGGCGAACACTCCCATCCCTGCGGAGCTCGTTGATGCCTCCGCTTGCCATTCGTGGTAACTCGGCGGAATGGTCGTGGACTCCATGGGGGATTGCGAATGCCGGGCGTCGTGCTCCGAAGCGGTCGTGGTCGAACGGCGTCCTCGCCCTCGTCTACGCCCCCTGGCCACAGAGCTCCCATCAGCGAGAGTAGAGGAAGATGCTTGAGAGGCTTCCGCAGACCCATAAGCTTGTGGCGTAGACCCCCATCGTTCACCATTATGTAGAAACTGGTTGGATCAGCACGCTTGACGACAGTAATCAGAAAGTAAGGAAATGTAGTACGTACCCCAGACTGATCCTCGATTCTCCGTAACTTGGATGGTAGGCGACGACGACGATTGTTGTTGTTCCTCTGGTTGTTAGGCTTGTCGTTGCCATCCTCCATGAGAAAGCCGCCAGGCCACGATCCTCCGAGGGCGAAAATGAAAGGAAGGGTGTGTAGAGAGCGAAACGAAGAAAAGGTTTGCAATGAGACTGCATGCAGCGTCCCTCAAGATGAAGGGATTCCATGACAGGTATAGCCTCATCGACGGTAATCCTTCTGCTGTGTTCCCTACGCGCTTTCTGCCCACAAAATGGAGCCTCGTCCGGATTAAGGTCCAGCTCAACACGTAATGCCAGAGGCTCTGCCCCGATCAAATCCGCCTGTCATTTCCAGCCCAAAATCGGATTGCGCTGCCAGAGATCAGGGTATCGAGCATGTTAAGGAGACAGGTGGCAATGGGTCTGCCAGGTGCCTCATTGGTGCACGGATCGTACCGCGGAAATGAGGGCAACTAAGTTTCAGGAAGAGCGCAAGTGCACACGACCCTGGAGACTGCGTCGCGATCGGCCAAGCAAAAGCAGCGTTGGCGATATGATACTCACGACAGATGCATTCGCAACGGGTGCAGGTGATGATCACAGAAAAAGCATCGCTCTCAGCAGGAGGAGAGAAAATCGAGGACATGCTCCACGCCGGTAACTGTGAACGTACTGCAAGATCCACAATGAACACTGCAGTCTGAGTCTTCTGTGTTTCCAGACTACCATCATGTTGGATAAACCAGTGAGAAACCAACCAAAAAAGGATCACAGGGTGAAATGACGGGAAAGGACATAGAAACGCTGCAGCAGATATGGTGAAGTGACGGAGGAAAAACTCAAAATCAGAGATAATATACCTCTGTGACCGTGATCTCAAAGCGGTCCGAGCGCGGGCCGAGCCGACCCCTTGAAGATCTTCGTACTTCACGCGAAATAATATCATAGAAAACGAATCAGTGTCATCATTGAGAGCAAAAAACCAGGAACTCTCGTAGTACACATTTACATCGGGTATGATCGTCATGAAACCAGAAAGGAAACGATTAGGCTGCTAATAGATAGGACAAACGAAGGAACGCTGGGCGTGCGCGGAATGTTGGCGTTTAGGATCCGGACACGAAAACTGTAAGGGGAAAGGAACGACTGTCACGGTAAGCGCATTATTATGTTCTCACTAAATCAAGCTTCCACTCTGCTGTTGCTGCGTACCAGGCATGTTCTGGCTGGGCCCGCCAAACTGACCCGTCGCAAACGATGGTGCACCGTTCGCACCGCCAAACGGCGAACCACCCGCACCAGCGGACACCGACGAGCTCAAGAACGACGGTACCGCCCCTGCCCCGCCTCCAGCACCGAACCCGCCCCCACCTGTCGCCGTGGGAGACATCGAAAACATCGTCGCCCTGAATGGGTTCGCCCCGCCCGCTGCACCGGTCATCTGTGGGCGCAGACCCACGCCCACCGTTGAGTTGCCCGACGACCCCAGTGCATCGCCCGGCTGGCCCCCAAATCCGCCCGCGCCCGTTGGCTGGCTGCCCAGCGCGCCCGTCGCCTGGGTGCCAAACGCACCCACGTTCCCAGGCGCTCCCGCCGCTGATCCAAACGCCCCCGTGGGCTGGGCTGTCAGCCCTGGGAATCCCGTCCGCTGTGGACCCAGCCCGTTCTGTCCGCCCCCAGACGCGCTTGTCCCGTTCTGCGCGGGCGGCTGTGCCCCCTCGCTCGGCGTCGTCGGCGCGGACTGCGGTATGGGTGGGAGCGACTCCAGCAGCGCAGCGCCAAAGGAAGACGACGGCTTAAACGCCTTGAGACCGCTGCTGAACCCCGTTTTCTGTGGCTGCAGGGGGTTGGCGGGGGGCAGCGAGGCAGATGGGGAGCCGAATGAAGTGGAGGTAGTGCCTGTAGGTTGGCTAGAGAGCGACGAGAAGAGCGTATCGGAGAATGTCGAGCCCGTAGCCGTTGAGCCTGCGGGATTTGACTCGCCAGGCTTCTGGAACGTGAATGCGGATGCAACGCTCGACATTGCCGAGCCCGTGGGCTGAGCACCAAGCTGCGACTGGAAGCCGTTCATGCCACCATAACCGGAGCTGGTGGGTGATGTTTGCTGCTGCCCGCCTTGAGGCTGCTGACCGTTGAGCTGGTTGTTCTGGCCGACACCTGTAGCTAATTGGAATAGTGTAGGCTGCTTCGGTACGGGTGGTGGAGCAGTGACGGGCGCCCCGAATGGGTTCCTCGACCCCGTTTGGTGCGTCTTGACAGGCTGTGCCGGCGGTGGACCTGACGCCGAGGCGGTAGGCATCGCGGTAAGCGGAGCGGATGCAGGGCGTGCTGGCCCCGCGTTCGCATTGTTCTTAGCAAAAGGTGATTGTGCGGTGGGAGCCGAGATCTGAGAAGAACCCGCCATAGCATTGAAGGCGTTGAAATTGGGCATATTCGATCCGTTTTGCAAGCCTTGAGACTGAGTCGGGAAGGGGTTGGTACTTATTGATGGCACCTGTTGTGCTCCCATGCCCAGTCCAAATTGCATCCCAGTTGATTGCGGGAACATCATACTCTGACGGAAGGGATTAGAACCTGTCGACTGAGGCTGCAAAAAGGACGTCTGTTGTGGTTGAAGGAAAGGTGCAGGCTGTTGTTGTTGCTGCTGTTGCTGCTGCAGCATACCGAAGGGATTGGTCGAAGTGTGTTGTGGCATGATAAATCCTGTGGGCTGGGGCTGCATTTGAGGCTGCACAAAGGGCTGAGGCCCGCCGAAAGGAGCACCCGTCATCATTTGCATCTGCATCTGTGACTGAACAAATGGATTATGGCTAGATAGCTGCTGGAAGTAGGCTGATGAAGGACTACAAGCCAGGTAAGCATATACAAGTAATGGATGGTCCACATTTGCTGACCTGTTCGTTTGAGGGTTAAACATCGTTTGCTGCTCTTCCTCAATAGCAGTGAAAAAGTCCATCATATTTTTATTAGCGTTTGTGGGAGCCGCCTGTGATGACGAGGCTTCAGGCAGCGACGAAGGCTTAGACTCAGGTTCTGGAGAAGTATCAGGTTCTGATCGGTTCCGCGAACAGCGGGTGGCATACCTTTTGCTTGCGACTGCGGCAATGGTGGGGGTGGCGCTTGCAAACCCGATCTCTCGTTACGCTCGGCAGCATCCTTATTCGCTTTGTACTCTATTCGGTTTTGTTCAAAGTTAGGGTCCTTCAGGTACTCCTCCAGCGCACCAGCGAGTGAGACTGGGGCCTTGAACGTCATGAGACTAGGCACCCACTAATAAGTCTTCCACTCACATGCCGAAGATTTGGAACCGGTACATTTAGCAAGTTTTGCAGCTTCTTCGCAATGCCTAGATATTCCACCACACGCTCTGTTTCCTTGCAGAAATGCCGATATATCTTCAATGCTTCTTCTGCATCACTTCGGAACATCTCGAAATAGTGTTCTTTCGTTTATTGATTATGAGATAGAAGGCACAACGAAGAAGGAACACACCTAGGACGTTGATAACCCCTTCATTACATGCTTGAAACAAAATAAGCAAATCCTTGACCAGCATGCGGAGCGCGGTGATGTTCAGTTCATTGTCCAGATCATCTAGGTAGAACTGGAAAGGGGTAAGGAGCACGCAGTCATAGCAAAGTCGCAGTCAATACTCACCCGGCATTCACAAAGAGAGTCAATCATCTTCTGCACAATCTTCGTCTCACGCAGCAGACCTTTCTCGACCGTCATCACCCGCAACTTTCGCCCAGCCATTGTCTTGCTCCGTTGGACACCCACACCGACAGACAACTCTTTCGTGTCCTTTCGAGAGCGATGTGAACCACGGTCTGGCTTCTCTCGGGCCTCGTCAATGGCATGTGAGTTGCGCATGTCTCTGTTATTCTCGGACTGCACGCGAATGGCATCATGCCTCAATTGAGCATACGCACGAATACGTGTATCGAGGTATATTGAGTAGTTCTGAATGTTCTCTGGTGCATTGTAGCCTGCGGAGAGGTTAGCATGTAGTCACAGCGCCGCTCGGGAGGTGGCCCGACGCACCCTCCCAGCTACCCGCAGACACATTCTTGAGTCTAAGCACATCTGATGAGGACAGATACGATAGGACGTTGTCTGTGGAGCCATTGCGAATCATGGTGTGCAGTACGATGAGGGCTTTGAAGACAATCTGACCGCGACGCGGGTCTGAGCGACTTGGCGTACCTCAAGCGGGCTGACCACTCACCAGCGTATTGGGCTCACGAAAGCGAGGCTGGAGTGCCCTACACACATCGTGAACTGCACCATCTTCTGACCACGTAGCATTGAGGATCGGGTCGAGATACTAGGGTGATTCAGTTCGTCGGTCTACTCATCGTGCGGGATTGAGACTCACCTTGGCCTTTGGTGGATTTGGCTTCGGCTTGCATGCACCCTTGACTGCTTTTTCGAAGCTGGACATGGCAGCAAAGGGGAGAGGAGAGGGGCAGCAGGCAAGGGTCAAGGGAGAGGGACCGGGGAATGTCGCGGATGCCAAAGAAGGCAAGTCCCAGTTCCATCATTTCCGACGCGGGACGACGTCCGAGTCCGTCTCACTGTCGACTTCCCGCAACCTCTCGCTCGAGTACCGACAACACCCATCTATTGGGACTGCACGCCCGTTCTTCTCGCGCATACTGCTCCTCATTTCCTCCGAATTCAACTCATGATAACATAGCTTGTGTATAGCCCCCTCACCAGTCTCACGACACTCACTCACTCACCATTCTGTCATTCTCCCTCAAATTCACCGGCTCGGGGCGTTCCACCAGACTCTCGGGAATGTCTCTGTCCCTCCTGGAATCGTGCAAGCCGCGGCGCTGGACCACCCGCCATCTCGCTTTTGCGACCGTCGTCGTGCTTGCGCTCATCACGCTCTACTATACCGCACTCCCACAGGCTCCCCCAGAGCACTGGAGCACCGAGCCTTCGTTTGAACAAATCCCCACTCCGCCTGAAGTCTGGCAGCGGCGAACGGAACAGGTCAAGCAGGCATTTCGACACGCGTACGCAGGGTATGAGAGGCATGCAATGCCTCACGACGAGCTACTGCCTCTGACGAACTCCTCCAAAAACAAGTGAGCACGTCTCGTCCGATTATCCTAACATGAATCTTCATGATTGTACAGCTTCAATGGCTGGGCAGTGACTGTGTTCGATTCCCTTGATACGATGATTCTCATGGGTTTGAATGATGAGTTCGCCCGTGCGTTACCGGTTGTTGCGGCAGCCGACTTCATGCCCAACCCAGTACGTGTACCCCACCCTCAGTTGTATTCTCATAATGCCTATACCACTTGTAGCACGTCACTAGTAAGCTCAAGAACTACGCTCCTTTTTTCGAAACAGTCATTCGCTACCTGGGGGGCTTGCTTGCTGCTTACGCACTTTCCCATGAACCGATATTACTCCAACGTGCCGATGATTTGGGGCGCTTGCTGTCCCCTGCGTTTAACACGACGAGTGGTTTTCCCATGTTTGGAGTTAACACCGCAAAGTATGTAGCCGTAACTGGGTCTCCTAGTATCGAGCAGCCATCGTGTTCCCCCTTTTTATGGCTCTGATTTTTTATCCATCAGCGGTACCGTCACCGGAGGCTCTACTGGCATACTGGCAGAAATCGCTAGCTGTCAGCTTGAATATTCCTATTTGGCATTGATGACTGGCAACAAAGACCACTTTGACAAGGTACGCAAGCTGCCCTGCATCCGCCCAAATAATTGTAGAATTCCACCATTGTCAGGCAGATACCATTATGAAGAGTCTCGCTCGAGCGAATGTGACTGCACTGGGTGGTATGCTCCCCCGACGCTGGAATTTACAGACAGCGAAGCCTGCCGATGGTACGTTGGAATGCATTCGATTGGCTCCTTCGTGTATTCATTGCGGTTCAGATGCCCTGTCGGTCGGAGCCGCGGCAGATAGTGCTCACGAGTATCTGCTCAAGCAGTATTTGCTGACCGCCAAAACGGACAGGACCAGCTATCAGATGTGTAAGTGAAGATCTTCTGCGTCGATTGACTCCGTATCCCATCACACCTAATCCTACTCTCAGATCTGCGTGCGACCAATGAGATACTCACCCGCTTACTTTATGTTTCCGAGAATCGGGATCTCCTCTACGTCACTGATACAACTCGCGCCAACTTCATACCCAGCCACAGATTCGAGCATTTGTCATGCTTCCTCCCAGGGCTGCTTGCGCTAGGTGCCGACCAGCTGGATATCTCTATGAATCACCTGGACCTTGGTGGGCTTGGACCAGAAGGAAGGCGTGCATATGAACTCTTGAAAGACTATGACCTACGTACGCTGCACAAGTGGGTCGCGGAGGGACTCGCCACGACCTGCTATCTCATGTACGCAGACCAGCCTACTGGTCTCGGACCGGACGAGGTACGCATGCTACCCAAGCAGGACTCCTCGCGGTCGTTCCAAGGCCAGAGAGCAAAGAGCATGGTACCCACAGGGCGGCTGTGGGTTAACGAGATGAGGAAATGGCGGGATGGCGGAGAGCACGGATGGCCTCCAGGCCTGGGTGATAAGAAGCCAGTCAGGTACACGCTGGAGGAGATGCAGAACTCCAAGACGCGTGGCGCCAAGAACCAAGTACGGGACTACACTCTTGGGCGAACGGATTATCTGCTGAGGCCAGAGGTGCGTACTGAGTTCCGCAGCGGGTCATGGGTTGGTCCTCACGCTTGTTTATGTACAGACCCTGGAGTCGATCTATATCATGTGGCGCACAACGGGCGATCCCATCTGGCGCGAGCGCGGGTGGGCGATATTCGAGGCCCTTGAGAGGGAAACCAAGACCGACTCGGGATATGCATCGGTCCATAATGTGCTGATATCGCCGGCACCGTTGGACGATGATATGCCTAGGTGAGAGATCATGACACATGTGCATGGTGCGGTATTGATCGCCTACGTTGTGCCACTGTGCAGCTACTTCCTTGCCGAAACGTGCGTAATGCCAGCCCGTTCTCCATCCTCCCGGAAAACTGACCTGGTTGTGAATGCACAGACTGAAGTACCTGTACCTATTGTTTCATGAGGAAGATCTGGTCCCCCTCGATCGATGGGTGTTCAATACCGAAGCACATCCCCTTCCGGTATTCACATGGTCACCTTGGGAGAGAAGCAAATTTGGCATTCCAGAGCCGTCCTTATAAAATCGATATCTCTCCCCCCGCTCGTCTGCACACTATGCGCCACTGCAGCGCCAGACGCTCTGCCTTGTTCCTCGTGATATTCCAGTAGCTGACGTTGAAACGATAGCCAACGCCAGTGTAATTATCTACACCGCTGACCGTTCTAACCGCCGAGCTGGAGTGTCTGAAGAGCGTCTTGCGGGGCACAGGTGACTGCTTGCATAACATGGAGATAGATGGGGTCAGGGGTGTGGTGTAGATATGCGGACGGTGACGGAAGCGGGACGCCATGATTGGATAGGGACATTCTTGGACATGCTCAATGTATATACCCAAACGTACTGTACACGTCAAGTGGTATTGTCTGCATATAGTCATCTGAACAGACAGTTGCTACAATCTGAACGCAACGTGAATAGGAGAAGGTTGTATTGTGCGGCTGCCCCAAGCTTGAGCCGCGCGGACGGGATGAAGATGATCGAATGCAGCCACCCGGATCAGCTGACAGCCGGCGGTGGGCCGGACCGCTGGGCTGTGGACGAACGAGGAGCAGCGCGAGCCATATGAAAGGTATGAGTCTCCTGCGAAATGCATTCCGGTCCTTCTCTCGCCTCCCGCCCTTCCGTCTTCGCTATTCAACCATGCCATCCCTCAAGCATGGCGAATTCGTCGGCTCTCTAGACTGTGGAACCACGTACGTGGCACCGTGGGCCTTCCTGCCAGGTCACACGCCTTACCTCTCTCCTCCAGATCCACCCGCTTCCTCGTCTTCGACAAATACGCCGACATCGTCGCGCAGTACCAGATTGAGTATCCCCAATATTACCCCGAGCCCGGGTGAGTCTCTCTGTCCCCCACACCTGACTCCTATCCCGCTGACCGCGGCGGCAGGTGGCACGAGCAGGATGCAGACGAGATCATGGACAGCTGCGACGTCTGCATCACCGAGGCGTGCAAGGCTCTCGAGACGGCAGGTTGGTCGAAAGATAGTATCAAGGTTATCGGTGCGCCATTCCGTCCCGAGTCTATCGCGCTCCACGTGACACTGACGCGACCGACGCGTTTGCAGGCATCACGAATCAGCGCGAGACCGCCGTCGCATGGAGCCGCAGCACGGGCAAACCGCTTTGTCGCGCGATTGTCTGGGACGACGGGCGCACTAAGACTACCGTCGCACATTTTGAGCACAAGCTGGCCTATGTCGGTTTGGAGCCAGAGCCAGGCGTTATCAGGAAGGGTAAGGACGGCGAACATGCCCTCAAAGATCTGTACGTCCTACCGTTCGTTTCGCCACTCGAGGAACCTCATATTCGGATTAGCACGGGCCTCCAGTTGTCCACGTACTTTTCCGCCATCAAGCTGCGATGGATGATCGACCACCACGAAGTCGTACGGAAAGCACACGAAGAAGATGATCTCCTTTTCGGCACGGTAGAGTCCTGGATTGTTTATGTGAGCCTTCAAATTTCCGAGTTCTTACTGGAGCTTACTATGCGTCCGACGACGTAGCGCCTGACCAACCGCAGCGTGCACATCACGGACGTTACGAACGCGTCCCGCACGCTCCTCATGAACCTGCGCACGCTCCAGTGGGACCCCGTGATGCTCAAGTTCATGGAAGTCAAGCCCTCCGTGCTTCCCAAGATTGCGTCTTCCTCCGAGATCTTCGGCAAGATCGCATATGGCGCCCTCGAAGGCGTCAAGATCGCCGGCTTGGTGGGAGATCAGCAGGGCGCCCTCGTCGGGAACAAGTGTTTGAAGCAAGGGGAGGCAAAGTGCACATACGGGACCGGCGCGTTCCTCCTCTTTTGCACCGGAGCCGATATCGTCTCCAGTAAGCACGGGCTACTCAGCACGGTAAGATCGCCTCTTTGCCGAGCTGTTCAAATGGCTTGAGTTTCTTCTAGGTAGCATATCAAGACGGTCCTACGGGAAAACCGATCTACGCCCTCGAAGGAAGTAGTGAGTTTGCACGACTATGGAACGTTTGTTCAGACTCACCGAACGTATTTGTAGTTGCTGTTGCTGGTAGTGCTATCAAATGGTCTGTTCAGCTAATCTACATCGTTGCCGACTGAATAACTTACACTGTCTAGGCTTCGCGATTCAATGGGTTTACTGGCGAATGCGGCGGAAATCAATACCCTGGCTGCATCCGTGCCACGTACCGGAGGGGTCTACTTTGTGCCCGCCTTTTCCGGTCTGCTCGCACCATACTGGGACCCTGGAGCGGGTGGCTTGCTTATCGGTATGCGACCGAATTTATTCCATGCTGTGGTACTAATATGCCTTCCGGTACCTATCTGCAGGCCTATCATCGTACACAACTCCTGCGCACATCTGCCGCGCCACTCTGGAAGCCAACGCATTCCAAACGCGTGAGATCCTCGAGAGCATGAAACTCGACTCGAAGAAGGAGCTCAAGCATCTGATGGTTGACGGCGGCATGACGAACGGCGACATGGCGATGGAGGTGTTGGCGGACATTGGTGGCTTCACCGTCGTCCGGCCTGAGATGCGAGAGTGCGCGCCGTTCATCTGCCCTCTGTGCTGCCGTTCTAACGCGTGATATCGTTTGCTCCTTTCCAGGTCCACCGCCCTCGGGTCAGCACTCCTCGCCGGATCTGCGATCCGCCTCTTTGGCTGGAACCTCAGTAAGCCCGAGACGCTCGTCGAGGTGAACACGAAGGGAACGCGCGAATTCAAGCCTGGTATGGCGGAGCTGCAGCGCGAGAAGAAGTGGCTGGGGTGGAAGCGAGCGGTCGAGCGGTCTCTTGGCTGGGAGGAGGGTATCGATGAATGATCGACCAATATAATACGATTATACATATCTTAGGTGGGAGGTCATGTTACGAATTCTTTGTAGTCCTGACATCTACTGTACAATCATCTGCAGCACTTATTGTATCAATAATCAATCATCGCTTGACGCAGCGGAAGGGGGAACCTCAAGTTGGACGGAACACGGACGGTAATACGGCCGCCGGAAGCGATGCGCGGCGCGAGAGGAAGGGGAAAACTGCCATTAGGACGTGAGGACCCGGTATCTATACATGCTCGTCCGCTGAGAAGAATCGCCGACACAGACAACATCACCAAACCCGGAAGGTGAGCTGCCTAAAGCGTATCTGGAAGCCGCGTCAAGTTGGTGTAGACCTCTCTCGAAATCGCGCGACCGTTCAAGTCTTCTCGTCAGTTTGAAATATATATGCGCGTAAATAGAGTCGATATAAACATGCATAATGTGATGGTAGCCCGAGAGAGAGAGAGAGAAAAGCAGTGAGAATGAGAAGGAAACTAGAAACATACTACCCGATCCCCCGATCGTCACTCACGTGACCGCGTCCTATGGCCTTGGTTAATTTGTGAGATCAACCAGTTCATCCCCACACTTCAACTGCGATGTTGTAATCGTCTGCTATCATATCTTCATCTCTTTTGCATTCTTAGCTTGTAGCCATTGCTATTTCGATGCTGTCTCAATGTCTCTCTCATGGTCTAAACGCAAATCTCGCTTGGCAGCCTTGCTCAACATAGACGAGGACGAAGATGCTCAAGCTCTCGCTCTGGATCGTATTCTACACGGACAGAATGTCATAGGGAAGACATGTAAATGCTCTCTTGTTCTCATGCCTGCTCTTAAATTCATAGACTTATAGCCAAGACGACCCAAATCGATTCGCTACGCTTCTCAGACGGCGATCTGGACGTTGTGGGCACACTGGAGTACGGGCAGTACGGAGTTGTGAGTAGTCTGATTCAGGTGTATGACTTGCACTGGAATGTTGCCCATGTAGATCGATGTCGTGACCTGCAAACTTGATGGCTGTGTATATGTCCGCAAGTCAACCGAAAAACGATTCGCACTGAAGATGCATGATGCAAGTGGCCGGTTTCTCTTTCTGATTCCTGACTCATCGGATACTCAACCAGCAATGTAGCCCGCAATTTGAACGGGATATTCTCTTGGCAGCACGAAGGACAGAATCTCGATGGGCACCGCATCTCCTTGCTGCGTTTCAGACATCAACGCATTTGAATCTTGTCATGAGCTACGCCGAGGGAGGAACACTTTGGGACGTCCTAGAATCTAGTCCTCATGACGGGCGAATCCTTGAATCGGATCTAAGGTGGTGGGCACCACAGCTAGTCAGCGCGATTGAATGGTGCCACTCGCAGGGTTTCGCGCATCGGTGCGGCCATGTCCAGCTTTAGGTGTTTGAGCACCTGTATCTTACAACTGGTTCGATCTCTCCAGAGATATCAAACCTCACAACTTCGTCCTTACCCCCGGTGCCAATGTCTTGTTAATTGACTTTGGTTCTGCCGCACCTCTCCTTCCCCCAGCATCTGACGGTAGTCAGGTGGTCCCGAAACAATATTGTCTCGTTCCGTGCGGGACTTGCGACTATATTTCTCCGGAGATATTACAGGCGCATGAAGAGGCTTTAGTGGCTTTGGAGATGGCTGACGATGATAATCTGCCGCCACCCCGGGATGGCGAAGGAGGGTATGGCCGCGAGACGGATTGGTGGAGTATGGGTGCAATGCTATATGAAATGGTATACGGCGTGGCTCCCTTTTTCGCTAAGGATATAAGACGGACCTATATCAAGATTACCGACCATCATGTACGCTTCAGAATTGCTTTGGGTCAACACTCAGCTAACCATCAAGGTGTATGATCATAGAACAACTTGCGGTTTGATAGACCGATCAGGATCTCTCATCATTTACAGGATCTTTTACGCAGGCATGACGCATATTTAATGTTCAGTCATCTCTCTGACCGATTACAGATTATTGACTAGTGCAGAACTGCGGCTTGGCCGCACCAGTGCCCACGAGATCAAGGAACACCCTTTCTTTGATGGGACTGATTGGTCGCGTCTACATGAAAGTGAGTTAACTGAGAAAGCCTAAGTAGCTAATTTTTGAATTTACAATCACCCGGTCAGCACAGAAGCCGGATGAACTTCATCTGCCCCAGTTTACGTATTCTACACCGGTAGTGGCTACTGACGTGTCTCAAGCGAGCCTACTTTCTCCCCAGGACGCCTCCGAATCTAGACCATTCGCTTTTTCGGCCTTGTTTCAGTCATCGCCTCCGTCTACGCAAGGCGCCTCTACGCACCTCTTGTCTCTATCTAACATGACTACTCGTTCCGCCATTCATGAGCTTCCAATCGCTTCCTTCATAGGCTTCTCGTGGGGACCATCGCAAGATGCATTCAAGAAAGCAGCGTCCCAAACGTCACCTATTCCTATAGATGTCAACACACCTCGACCCCTGCGCTGCTTCTCGGTGTCAACAACTCCATTCCTGCAGCCGCCTACTAAACAAGCACAAGCCACACCAATTATTCAGCGATACCCCTTCGCGACGCCGGTCCGTCCGAACTTAGCGACCCCCTATCAGACTCTTCCCCGTGCCAGTACTATCCGCCGCACCGCTCCCCGACGTGCGGTGTCAGATCGTGAGGCTTTGAAGCAGCTCGTCGACTGCGTGGGGATGAGCGCACGCAAAAAGGTGCTCGAGAGCGGTCGAAAGCCTCGCATCCTCACGTCTTTTAGCCGCTCGTCCACGCTCAAAGAGCTCAGATTTGACACCTCCGTGGCCGTCGTGGGCGCGACCGGCGGAGTCTCGTTCAAGGCCGAATCCGCCACCATTACCACACAGTCGGAAGACACGTTTGGCACGTCGTCTGTATTGTCCGGCATGGCCTCGATGTCTGCGGGCGCGGCGTCGGCCACGCAGGAGATTCTCGTTCCGGACCTAAGCTTCTCGGACGTGGACTCAGATATCCCGTATAGCCCCAGTCCCAGCCCTCGGCCCGGGTCTGCAATGTCGATTTTGTCACGGAGGAGCCAGACACCGACGACTACGAGCTTCAATCTCTTTCGAGCGGGCATGGTCAGCCAGCGCAGTGCGGACGGGTTCAAGAGGCCTACGCCCACCGCTGAGATGGCCCACTTCCCCTCTAGAGAGATTACACGGATAAACCCAAAAGACGCGGAGGCGGGGGAGCATACATCATATGTTTCGTATGATTTGTTTGACGATTTCGAGAAACGATATACCGTATTATTGGAAGATATTTCGGGATTAGAGTTGCGTTTGGCAAGGATATCGACCTCGTTCAGGAACTCATCATAACTTATTCCACCCTGTAGAAGCTCGGCATATGTGCCTGTAGTATGTATTGTACTGATTGCTGAGATGTCTTGCTAGCATTACCATATATCGGGATGTTCATTGCTACGCTCCATAAAAATAGCAAACAGAGATCCGATCTATCGCCCGAACTTCTTCAAGGGATCCGACTTTTTTCTCCCCCTCCCTGAGGCACCACCTCGTCCACCTCGCCCTCTACCGCGTCCGCGACCACGCGAGTTCCTTTTGTTGAACGGCACAAAGCCAGGATCACCGGTTGTGTCGCGCGTATCGACTTCTGCACCCGACCCAGACACCGGAGTAATCCGTGGTAGCAGGTACTTGGGCACATGCTTCATATGCGGCTGAACCCTAGTTGGATGCAACGGCTTGTCGTGGCGCAAATATTCTAGATCATTAGGATTGTCTTCAAAGTGCGCCTGAATGCCATAGGCGATGAGCATCGCTTTTGAAAACAGCAACAGGAGCGTCGTCACCTTGAGTTTATCAGAATTCAAAATCTCCGACTTGAGTTCCTTGATCCTTGCCTCCTTGATCGCGCTCCTCGTCACTGACCGCAGCGCATCTTCCATACGATACCGGAACGCCTCTACTTGCTTCATGTCGAAGCTGTACTCCTTGACCTGGCTCCCCCGTGCCGCCTGTTCCCGCTCAACACGCGCAAATACCTTCTCATCCTCCTTTGAACTTTCCACGCTGCCGACGACCTTATTGCGCCCCCACTGATCCCGCGGAATTACAAATGAGAGTGCCATGCCCGTACGCCCTGCACGTGCCGTTCGCCCTACGCGATGGGTGTATGAGCGCGCAGAAGTGGGGAGGTCGAAGTTGATCACGCAGGAGACATCGACAAAGTCCACTCCACGGGAGACACCATATTCGGCGTCATTGTTCCGCCGGCGCTGCTTACGCTTGGACGATTTGGATGAAGATTTGGCGGCAGTGCCTTCGGTCGCGAGTGTGTCCGAACGCCGTTTACGTTTGAGGGAAGAGCCTGAACTTGATGGCTGCTCTTTTTCTTCATCAGAGGCTGGCTGTCCCGAAAGCGTCTCACGCTGTGTCGTTGTATCTGACATCCATGTCAGCAAGTTGTAGCAGCGAAACCTATAACCTATGCCTACATTCATCATCATCTGACTCCGCGTGTGGTTCCTCTTCGTCAGAATCGTGTTCAGTGCGTCCAGCACTTTCGTCCGATGCAATGATGTAGTCGTAAACGCCCTTATTGAATTCTTGCACTGTGTGATATCTGCTCAGGATAAGAAAAACATCCTAAGCATAAGACAAGCGCGCAAACCTTGAATTGAGTGGCAGTTCCGAATTCAGTACGCAGCTCTTTATCGAGAATTGTTCGAGGAAGAGCTTCAAGCGGTAACATCGATCGACATCGTTTACGAACAGAATGCATTTGCCTTTAATGAGCCTCAGCTTGAGGATTACATAGACCAACAGAAATTTGTCCACTTCGGAGCAACTAAAAAAATTTGAAAATAAGCGGCAGCAACGCTTCGTTCTTGCCAGCCCAACTTACCGAACATAATATTGACTAAGATTTGCTGCTTCATCCTCGTCCTCCTCCAATTTGAGGATAACCTGTAAAGCGTTAGACTTCAAGGTGGCATTCCCTCAATGGTGGAGGTCACTCACGGGACTTCGAAGCACAAGACCTTTGAGCGCTTCTACATCTTCAGTCATAGTTGCGCTCATCAGGAATGACTGAAAGACTTTCGGAAGAAACCCTCCTTGGAATACTTGGCGAACGCTTTCATCATGCCCATAAGACAATATCAAGTCGGCTTCGTCGATGACCAATGTATCGAGCGCATCGAGCAATAATGCCTGAAATAATATCAGCATTTGCCTGTTGGTAAATAGTTTGAGCCCTACCTTCGACTGAAGCAGTGTCAATGCTCGCGCAGGCGTAGCAATCACGATGTCGGGATGATCGGACAATAGCGTCCTATCAAAGGGTTTGTAAATATTTTTCCAGATGAAGTCTACATTAAGCCTACTTTTGTAATTGGGTCGTTGAACCGGTGCAGATGTTGGCTATAGTCACTTCCTTGTCACAGTATGCAATCAAGCTGTTCAAGTGAGCGGAGACTTGTTCAGACAGCTCGCGAGTTGGGACTAGTATCAGGGCACGCGTAATCTGTCTTGAAGGATCCTCTACTGGCAGGTTCTGTCAATGGAGATTACTTGGATTAATTGCGGTGGTAAATAGGACTGGCAAGTAACGGCAAGACCTCCGTCTTGCATCGATGCACAGGCAGTCAATATAGCATTAGGCAGGGATAGTTGCGATTCTGCTATGCTGCCTCCCTGTGCACCTGTTCGCTAACTGACAAGGTCTGCATATAACGATCAGGACGCATACCCACAGCCTTTGCGTTCAACACCTTCTGCACTAACGGGATGCAATAAGCCGCAGTCTTCCCACTCCCAGTACGCGCACGAGCCAGAATATCACGATTTTCAAGAGCTAGCGGAATTGCCTTGGTCTGCACGAGGGTCGGCCGCGCGAAACCCATATCCGCCAGTGCACGAAGGAGACGGGCATCGAGAATATGGGAGAAAGAGGAGAACAAAGCCTTTGAGTCGACGAGCCGCGCATCTGGCATAGCAATACACCACTGAAGAGGAGCTGAAAAGCAAAAGCCTGTTACAGTGGAGAGCAAGGTCGTCCAATTGTCAGGGAGCTTCAGTTTTTCGTCTATTTCCGTATTTGGGCGTAATCGAATGCGCACGTGATGCGCATTTCGGGACGCGAGTCGGTGACGCGCCTTCGAGCCCGGAGATCCGACTTTTCTTGCGATTATCAATCGCAGCGGAACTTCTCTCAATATCAAACCAGTGGAAGCTCAACACAGCTGCTTCTCAAACATCTAGACAATATGGCAGATATATCAACAAAGCCTCCACAAGTGTCAGAAGCCGTCAGTAATGTCCCTTGTGCAATGTGAGCGAACGTCTAATACAGCGCGCAATTACAGGGTTACTAAATTTCGAATAGATGTAGAAGACAATTTTCCAGATATACTTGCCCTCGATGCAATATACCGTATTGTTCTCTCGTGTGCTTTCGGTCAGAGGTACCTATTGCCACGGCTCTCTTCTTATCGCAATCCGTTGTTCTGACTTATACGAATATTCCCAGTCGCACAACAACTGCTCAGAGAGTTTCTATCGTAAGGAGCTGGAGGTAGATATTCGAGGTGCTCCCTCCAGAACAGCTGAAGAAAGAAAGAGGATGATGGAATTGCTGAAGGAATTCGAGGAAAGCTCCGTGGATGATGATATGATGCTTGATGAGGAAGAGGAAGAGACTGATGGATCGGATTTGGCGCATAGGCTACATGGACTTGACCTTGGTAGGCCTCTTCACTCCTCGAATTGTCTAAAGCTCACCAATAATTGAGATTTGATACCACCTGACGAGCTGTGGAACGCCTTGACTCCCGCTGAGCGCGATAGGTTTCTAAAAACCATTCAAGACCCGGACGGTGACCTTGCACAACAGCTCCTTTCAAGCGAAGAACTGGAGAAGGCACGTATCGAGCCATGGTGGGAGGCACCGGTTGAACTCGAGTCAGACGACGCTTGGACTTCATCTACCAAGGGATCTACGGGATTACCGGCAAAAAAATATGGCACAAGTCCAAAAATCATGCACATACCTGCGTCGCTGGTCCGATCATCGCTCGAACCTGGAAAAACCCCGCTGCTGCTGTATAACTTGTGTAGTGTGGTGTAAGTGTCTTGCGTCCTTAAGCTTGGTGGACGCTCATAATGTACACTCAGCATTGTATACGCATATCTTACCCGATATTTCTCCATCTCTCCCATCTCTGTCATCGAAAAATCTGAACGAGAAGAGGGTCATCGAATCATCACACAACTTCTACCCTTTCTTACTGACCGCAAGTCCACCGTCGTACACTCATCATTATCTGGTGCGATAACTGACCTCTGGTCAAGATTCACGACAGTGAGTAATACCATCTTATATTCTCCGGTTCCGTCTACACCATTCATCACAGGGACAGATGAGCTCGGCATTCTTCGCGATCTTGTTGAGTGACGCGGCCAAATTGATTCGACCATTGTCCGTCTCTTTGATATCGTCCCCCAGCTCCACCCCTTCAGATGGTCTGTCAGGGGACTATTCCGATCTCAATAGCCACCCCAGCGCCAATATTCTCCAAGTTCTTTCCGATCTGTCCGGGATGTTCGACGAGCCAACACATGCCGATGATATTTCCATGTCATCTGTTCCTGTACCCAGGGCGAGCCACGCATTAAAACATAGTCACACTAAACACAAGCTTACCTTTTACGCTGCTCACACGTTGTCTGTTCCAAATCTTCTCTTACGTGCTCTTGCAGACGAAATTGCAGTCCGCGCCGGCAGAGTTGCTCGTGAGAATACTTATTTTAAAGACGATAAATCAACCGAGAGGGCGCGAGGAGGAAACAGTTCGTCTCACATTGCAAGAACAGGCGGCTCGCGCATAGAAGAAGTGAATGAATGATTAACTTATACACAATTCAAACCATGTTTGGCTTTTATCTACAAGTGGGTATCTGCGGCCGTTCATCACGCGCCTAAGTTTCAATATCCTACAGCGTCATCCCTGCCCATGACGGAATACAAAATCAAACTTCGACCATCAAGAAGTCTCAATAACCGATCATACGAGAAATTCTTGATACTCTGTTTGTTAAGGTTCGGGGACACGGTCGTTTCCTCCGTGTCTTGCACTGTCTCTCGATTTACTTCCGTCATCGAGTGCCATTGGTGGGCAAGCTATACCATAGGAACCTCGAGCCAAGGCGTCGAAAAGGGCGCTACATATCGTCGTGGGGCCCAATTCAACTCTGGATAGATGGGGCCACGTGGAGAAAATATCGCGCCAGACGTGCGGGGGTAGGTTTCCCTTCTGTTTGCTAATCGCTAAACACTCCACCGGGGCAGCGGAAAATATGTCGGCGATTTTGACGACTGCATCTGCCAATCGATAGTCTGCGCCATAGAATCGTCGAATATGAATGTCGATATCGGGTGCTGATAACTCGGAGCCCTGCGACCCATGTGCTCGAGGGACGCTCCACGTTCGCAGGGAGAAGTCTTGCCAGGATGAGCAACATATCTCGATGGACGCTGCGGTCTTTATGGAGGATATATTCAAGCGTGGGAGAAAGGACAGGCAGGACAGGCTGTATGCGTCCGTCTCGAGCTCGACTGACACATCAAGCGTGAGTCGTGTTGTCGGTGGGTACGAGAGAAGATGAAGGAGGCAAAGTACATTGGTGAGCGGGGCGGAGAGGGTGAGATCTCTCAGACGCGGGAGGGAAACCTTGCGAGAGGAGAGTGCGCGGCCGCCGATGAGGCCGACCCTGATCATGCTCAATGACCGTAATTGAGAACATGCGTCAAGCATGTCGCAAAATCGTTGCATCTCTTCATCTCCGGAGGATATCGGCAGATCAACAAGCTCGAGACTCGTCAACACCGCGAGTCGTGGGGATGATGATGAAACATAGACGGATTGTAGCCTCAAGGAGTGGAGACGAGGAAAGTATTCGTCAGTCGGCTCGAAAAGGATCTGCTCCGGCTCTGTCCCGTGTCCTCGAAGGGCGAGGTGCTCCAGCCGCTCCATGGGAGCATTTACCAGTGTAAAAGGGAGGGAAAACAGCGAGTCGTTGTCGAACCCCATGCTGATGCTAAGGTGAACAATTCGCTCCACGTTCGACTTGATTGCTTGTACCACAGCTGCAATATCGCTTTTTGACTTAAAATCCTGCATGAACACACGCAAGAGCGCATCGCCCGACCGATCTAAGAATGTTTCCACACATTGCAGGGAGGCGAGCCCAGTGTCGATGGTAGACCAGAGCATGGGTGTTGCGAGTGCGACGTCTCGCCAATAATTGCATACACTTGTGACGGAGAAAAGATCCATGGGCTTATCTTCATCGACGATGTACTGGACGACCTCCACCAGCAACTCGTTAGGGAGTCGGTTGGCAGGAACGATAGCATTGTGACGAGCTGCCGCCATCCGTACATTCTCCGTCTCCCATATCGGCTTCTCTCCTCTCGTAATTGGTACGTCCGAGCCTTGCGTGAGAGTGTCGTGCGGGGTATCCATTCTGTGTGGGATAAATTCGGTGTCTATAAGATTAGATAATTGATAGAGTCTATCAGTCGCCGACGATTGCCTTCCATAGAGAACGGGAACTTACCAGCGCACAGGATGGTGTAGCGGCGAAGGTGGGTGCAAGAGAGATGGCTGGCTGGAGTTGACATTGGGTTCAGGATTAAAGCTACGTCGGAAATGGTGCGGCTAGAGTCTCGGAAACCTTCGGCCGCCTTGTTGCAGAAGGCCCCATGACCATGGCATTACGTATCTTTAAGCCACCTTACCGAAGAGCTCATCGTCTTGATACAACCCCGTGGTTCATTTGCTATATTAATGTACACCTATCTGTTCAGGTTGGTGCTTAATCGGTTCATGCCTTGGAAACGACCGCCACAGAGTTCATTTCTTACTACAAATTAGGGCTGGAAGGATGTCGGCAATAGCCGTATGATTCGACAGGGCATCACAAGTGCCTACAATTGACTTGGAGAAGATATTTATGTACAGTCATCAAATTCGGCTGCGACATGTTCGACTCGGCAGTGGAAACGTCAAATCCTCTGGCACGGCTTTGTGATGAAAATACTCCGCAGTGTCAGGTGCAGTATTCTGATTCAGGGCCTCAAGGATCAAACACTTTTGATAAACAGGTACCGTACATCTTATTAGGATCAACGACCACGCGACTCTCGTTGGACGACAACGTGTTGAGCGCACTCAAAGTGCGTTCGCATCATCTACTTATAACTCTAAGTTCATACATCTCATCGCGAAAGCGTCAGGCGTCGTCGTCAGAGATCTTCTGCGCCCCAACGTCGCGTATAAGGGCTTCTTTGAAGATGGACGCGCGCGCTACACATACTAGGAATTGTCGTCAGCGTCGGTGCATTTAGCAGACATCCAGATGAATCTAAAGATGCTAATGAGTTGGCGCTTGAATTTTCTGGCGCAGAGTCCTGCATCATAAAGCTTCTTCAGGCCATCGCAGAGCCCCAAATCCTTATCCTCTGACATGGACTTGGCAGAGTGATTCATTTGGGGTGTATCACGACAAGGAACCGGATTTCCCGGCCTATTTTCTGGTTCGGCCCAGCGAGTGACGAAGCGCTCGACGTTCTGCAGGACCTGCGTAAGACTACAGCAGCCGTATTCGGGCTACTCTCTTGGACTCTCCAGATGTTTACAAGCTTGGCACGCCTATACAATAATCGTGTCAGGCAAATCGGATTAACTTACCATTCGCATTCGCATTCGCATTCGCATTCGCATTCGCATTCGCATTCGCA